CGTGATAGTGGCACCCCTGGGAGCCAGGGAGGTGCTGGGCAGGGATCAGCACACGCCTAGTGCCGTGAATGGACCGGTGGGTGGGAGATACAGGACCGCATGAAAGCAGGCAGCAGCCCACCCTGGCTCCCTCCTTTCCAATTGTGTGCTGGTCAGATATGACCCAGCGAGGCTTGTTAACTCACCCCTTTCCAGACCTGTCTTGCCCTTATACCTTTCCTTTCTGGTGTGGTGCCCAAGGTGACCAGGGACAGTGACAGCAGAGCAGACCTATGCCCTCGGCAAACCCTCTTACAAGGAACAGTCATGCTAGCCAGCTGCTAGCCCGTGAACAGATACAGAAAACGTTATCGTATCTGTCTGTTCAAACCACGTGATGTAAACCCCACTCAGCGATTTACAAGCCCTTTAGTGTTTCTCAGTAAGTGCTCCCACAGGCAGGACCTCATTGCCCCAGTGACGCACGGGAACCCGAGATACAACAGAATGAAGTGTCTTGACCAAGATCCGACAGCTCAAGAGCAGCAGTCAGACTCTCTGTGCCCAAAGCCTGTCCTCGACCTACACTGCAACCCGACTTCCAATTCTACCCAGTTGGGATTGTCCACAAGGAATCTCAGCTTTGGGGCCCAGGACTGAAACTACCTTACTTAGGCCCAGTCTCCCACTTGAGACAGAGACCCATGGAAAGTGGGGAAGGGAACTGATGTTTGTTGAGAACCTGTATTATCCCATTTTTATACTCCCAACAGCATGGCACGTGGGACTTTATTAGTCCCATTTGACAGTCAGGGAAATCAAGAGGTTGTTTCATGACGCTAGAGCATCATAGGATAATAACATAGGTCGGTGGGTGCTAAAACCAGTGCTTTTGCTACTACCCCATGGTCCTTTCCAGAAAAAGGCCTCCCTGTACCTCCCTGTGTCCTCCCCCAGACAACAGATCCTTATGCATCCCATGGGCCCTGCTTGCCCGTGGCTGTAGGATGTGGTCAGTCCCCCCACCCAGTGCTGGGCTCAGTGGAGATAAGAGGATGGGGATTTTTGGGCTGGGTTGGGGTGGATGCCATTTAGGGATGGGAACATCCCTATGCCGGCCAAGGCCCATCTGGAGAGAAACCCCAGCTGACCATAGCCCTCAGGAGCCTTTCCTGTAGATTCAGGGTGAGGATACTCTGCAGATATCCAGTAAAGTTGACAAGACCCTGAGATGAGACACCCTTAGAGATGGCCCCTGAGCCCCAATGGCCTACCTAGCTCACCAGATGTATATTTTACCCAGTCCTGGGCAGAAGGGAGGGGAAGGGAGGAAGGGAAGAAGGAGAGGGCAGGTACAGAGGCTGAAACACAGCCTAGGCAGTCTGGCATCGGCTCCTACAAACTATAAAATGAACCCAAGAGAGAATGTTGAGCTTAGCTGGGGCAGGTGGCAGAGGCGTGATAGGGGAGGCATACTTTGCCTTAGATTTGAAGAATGAGGAAGACTTACCAGGGAGTCAGTCTAGGGAGGGCATTGCAGACAGAGGGAAGGGTGTACACAAAGGGCACAGGGGAGTGACGGATCATGGGAGGGCAAATTTCTGAGGCATACAGGTGGGACATGAGGCTGGAGGGATGAGCAGGGCGATTAGATGACAGAGACTGTTCATTCCCTCCTCTTTGTATTGTAACAATTTCTAGGTAGGCATGAACATAGACATCAGCTTACCTACATTTGGCAACCTCCCTCGCAGCTAGGTAGGTGTGGCGAGGCAACTATTTTCAGATAGCGGGACAAGAGTGAATGTTCTAAGTGAAACTTTCAGATTGTGCCCCTCTCTACTTTTCCCTCATCCCCCTGGCTGGAATGCAGCTGGGATGGTGGGACCATCTCAGACCACGAGGTAGCTGTTGCATATCGAGAACAAATTACAGAACGGGATAGAAAGAGCCCAGATTCCCAACACCATCAAATCATAAGTTGGAACAAACTTTGCATGAAAGAGAGATAAACTTGTAATTTGCTGAAGCCATTCTAGTTTGGGGGTGCCTTATTATAGCCGCCTTTTATCCTAACTTCATTATACCCTGCAGAGAGGTTTAGTTCTCTCCCCAGAACAGCGGATACAAACTCGACGACTGATAGAGGCCAAGCAAGCCATGCAGATGAGGAAGGCAGACTGGGTGCTTCTTTTCACCAAAAAAATACCTTCTTTCCTGTTTGAAATACAGGATCCTCGTCGCCTAGCTTTAGTTTTTCCAATTTTGCAAGACAAGGACATAAGAAAGCTTCCTCTGTCCTCAACGCCGCCGTAAGAGAAATAGCTGGTGCCGCCTCATTGTTGGGGAACGATAGGGGGTGGTGGGGACTGTGGTGAATTGGAGAGCAGATGCTTCAGTCAAGGGGCAGCTGCCACCTGGCCTCTCCTCGTGGCTGCCACGTGGGAACATGAGCGCCTGTGGCCGGATAACTCCACTTTTCAAATTTAATAATCTGAATTGTTAAAGTTCTCAACATTTGGGAGCGCCTGGGTGGCTCAGTCGGTCAAGCATCCGATTTCGGCTCAGGTCATGATCTCACGGTTCATGGGTCCAAGCCCCACGTCGGGCTCTGAGTTGACAGCTTGGAGCCTGCTTCAGATTCTGTGTCTCCCCCTGTCTCTCTCCCTCCCCTGCTTGTGCGCTCTCTCTCTCTCTCTCTCTCTCTCTCTCTCTCTCAAAAATAAATAAACATTAAAAAAAAGTTTGGCACCATCTGTGTAGCAGACGAGAGGAGCCCAGAGCCTCCTGAGAGAGCAGCCAGCTGAGAGACCTCACATGGGAAGAGCTTGGTCGGATGGACAGTCCTTCAGCTCTGCAGCACCTCCAAACGGTAGCACAAGGCCAGTAACATGAGGCCACCTGGGGCCATGAGACGTGGGACAAAGACAAGATAGTCTGGAGCAGCACAGAGCCTGTCTTCAGCGTCGCTGTTACACTGTTACGGTAAGGAGGAACTGCCAAGGAGTTACTTTCCGAGCTCCTAGAATAATCTTTAAAGGCATTACATCAATATTCATGAAAATCACATTCATTGTGCTCATTTTAGAAGAGAGAGAGAACCCTGCATGGGCAAAACATTCCAGTTTACAACCTCAACAACTCTAGTGACTGGAGAGCATGATGGAATTTCCAATGAGGACGTTGTGGGGAGAGATTTGTGTGGAGAATGGATTGGAGAGTGAGAGACAGGGTCGGTGGCCCAGGCTGGTAGAAGGCAATGGAGCCTGACTAAGGTGGTGACTGTGGGCACAGAGAAGGGCAGGCCAGAGCCCAAGGCCACCGCCAGCGGGGAAGTGGACCGCCCCCCCTTCCCTGGCTTGCATCTGGCTGTGCTTTGGGAGGCCCTCCGGTGGCTATGCGGTGGGGGCTTGGGAAGGTGGGTGCGGGGTGGGGGGTGCTGGCCCCGCAGAGAGCAACCTCTCTCAGGAGCCTCATCCCTGATGTGCTGCAGCCCACCGAGAACATCAGCAACCCAGTTTGGACGCTTCACAGGAGCTCGGTGTGGGTAGGGCAGCATTTCCCACGGTGTGGCTCCCACAATGTGGGTGGGGCACAGGACCCTGGGGCCATGAAAGACAATTTCATTGTATTTTTTGATGCGTTTATTTATTTTTGAGGGGAAGGGAAGGGGCGGGGTGGGGGGGGACAGAGGCTCTGAAGCGGGCTGTGTGCTGACAGCAAGAGCCCAATGTGGGGCTCGAACTCACAAACCTTGAGATCGTGACCTGAGCCGAAGACAGACGTTTAACCGACTGAGCCACCCAGGTGCCCCCATGAAAGGCAGTTTTAGATGGTGCACAGAAAACATTTTAGTTGTCAGTAATTTTGTACTGACTTTCACGTACCTTTGGGAAATGGAACTGGCATATCAAAGCTGTGGTTTCACAGGTATTGTTGAGGATTAGGCAAGTAAAAGCAGTGAGTCACTTAAAGTGAACTTGGGGAACATGTAAAGTAAATAAGCACCCGAGCGCCAGGGTGAGTGGCCGTGGGAGAAACGGAGAAGGTGAGGCGTGAGGGCTGGGGCTGGCTGCACTGGCAGTTTCCAGTTCAGGCAGCCATCTTTCATTACCTTTGGTTGTCTTGTGTTTGCTAGATACTGGCTCAGTGTTTGCACACACATCGGGCTACTTATTGCTCACAAGGCCGCCTGCTCAGTCTTTTTGTCCTCATTGGAGGATAAGAAAGGCTAAATGCCAAGGGCTGGCCTGGACTCTAAGCTCGGTGTCTGGCTGTTTGGGACAGTTGTGACAGGCAGGCCGTTACTCCACAAACAGCTCTGAGAGGCGGGGCTGGAGCAAGGGTCCACCTGGCTCAGGACCTGGCCATGGCCCTCAAGGAAAGAACATTCACCAAGTGTTGAGCACTTGCTAGGGTTGTTGTGAGGACCCTTGCAGGGTCAGCCAGGCTTTGTTTTGTTTTTCAACATAAAAAGTGTTTTTTCAGTTTTTCAAGGAAATGCATGATCATTCCAAAAATTCAGAAAGAAGGAAGAAAACAGACACACATAATCCCACCAGAGATGATCAGTGTTAGTGACAGACAGACATTTGGGTCCAGGTTCATCATATCAGAATGCAGGGGAGAGCATTTTCTCTCCATAACAGAAGTGTCTCCCCATAGCCACCCCTCACCCCTTTCTGGTACCCCATCAGGTTGCCCCCCAGACATCAACAACATTTGACAGGTCCAAGGACTTTTCTTCATCTGATAGATGTTCTGGTTTCTACCCCTTGGCTTCTGGTGTTCCCCCACTGTTGTGCTCTGTAGTCTCTCTTCCCTTCTAGCCCTCTAACCCCCCGTCTGTCTGTGCTCCGAGTCCACAAAGCTCGGCCTGACGGCTTTGGCATTGAAAACACCTGACTTTCCAGTGCCATCTGAGGAGGGCGATGCTCCTAGCCCAGCTCAGAACAAAATCCAGAGTGTTTCTGGTAAAGAGATTAGGAACATAAAAAGGAGCAAGTGTCTGGGCACGGGAGCTAATTGCTTGCGAGGCCTCGCCTGCCGCAGGCCCTGCGGCTCACCCCACACTTGACTCCGGACCGCAGGTCCCAGAGGCTGCGGATGAAAGAGCAGAGGCTGGATTCCAGCATCTTGATTTCAGCCCGCAGCTTGGACAGCTGTGTGAAGCAGGCCCCCGCTTCCACAAGGGGAAGGCGGCCCAGCCATCTGGTTGGCGGGAGTCAGGGGCATGATTAGCTTCTTCTAAAAGCCGTGCTTAAACCAGGTTCTCTGGCTTTGAAGATGATTCCTGCAGGACCAACAGTTCATTTCCTTGTGGGGAAACACTGTCAGGTTCAAAAGCCATCATTCTCCCGGGAGGCCGGGTGGCTCTCTCCTCATCTATAAACACTGTTAAGGAGGGGCTAGGTTTCTGTTCTAACAGTTCCTTGAGATTTACGCTTAATGGGGACAGGGTGGCACAGGGAACAGATGGGCAGTGAGGCCATCGATGGCCCCGAACAATTTGGTCTCGTCGTCTTGTGTGTTTTATTTTCAACGATGCAGCTGTGCTCTCTGCCGCTCTTTCAATAAGGGCACGCCGTTCTCAGCCCAGGCGCCACACCTCCAGGGAACATCCATCCTTTTGCCATGTATTTACTGAGCAGTTACTGTGTACCAGGCAGGGTGAACCAAACGGAGCAGTAGAGTCCGGAGGATAAAAGAATGGGCTCTGGGCCAAGCCTGCCTGAGTCCTGAGTTCAGTCCTGGCTCAGCCCCTTACTTTCCATGTTCTGTTCACTAAGACTCCGGGCCTTGTCCGTAACAGGAAGGTAATGATGGAATCTGTCTACGGGGTTACTCTGAGTATTAAATGTGATGTTGCAAGAGCAGCCTGATGCTTCATAATTGCTCAGTGAGTACTGACAGTGATTGCATAGTCCCTGCCCTCCAAGGTGCTGATGGTCTAGAAGGGACAACAGCAAAGCAATGCATCTGCAAATGTGTGGAACAGATGTCATAAGGGGCGCTAAAATAGAGGACACGGAAGCACTCAATTTAGTCTAGGGCTCAGGAAGGCCCTCTCGGAGAAAGCCACCTGCAGGAGCGAGTGATGCTGCTGGAGAGGTGGACGGGCCTCGTTGCCCAGACAAGGAGTTTGGGATCCCCTGCAGGCAACGGGGAATCCGTGGAGGGTCTCGTGCAGGGAAGTGACAGCCTCCAACTTCTGCCGTGTGGAGACGAGACTCTAGGGAAGTGGATTTGTTTTCTATTATCACAAACTCAGCGGCTTCAAACAATACAGATTTATTATCTTACAGTCCTGGAAGTTGGAAGCTCTCAAATCAAGGTGGCAGGAGGGCTGTGTTCCTTCCAGAGGCTCTAGGGAGCCTTTTCCTTGCCTTTGCCGGTTTCTGGAGGCTTCCTGCCTTCATCCTCCCCCAGGTGCGTTCACCGCAACCTCCGCCATGATTGTCACATTTCCTTCTTTGACTCCAAGCCTCCTGCCTCTTGTAAGGACCCTTGGGATGACAGTGGGCCACACAGTTGGGCGCCAGTCCGCCCGTTTCAAGACCCTCAACCTAATCATACCTGCAAAGGATTTTTTTTTTCCTTATAAGGTAACATTTTCACAAGTTCTGGAGATTAGGCCATAAACGTCATTGACATCATTGTGGGAGACTGTTATGCTGTCTAACACAGGGGGCAGGAATGGAAAAGAGGAGACTGGTTGGGAGGCTACTGTGATCATGCAGGCGAGAGGGAACGATAGTCTGGACCAGGTTGGAAACCGTGGAAGTGGGGAGAAGTGGGTGGAATTAGAGAGCTTTACTGGTTGCCCTGGCAGAGGAAAAATGAAAGATGGACTAGTGTTCTGGCCCTTAAAGCTTTCATCTGGAATTGACATGTTAATATCACTTCTGCTCACAAGTGACATGGCCGTGCTAACTTTAAGGTGGTGGGGAAATGCAATCATGTTATGTGCCCCTCAGGAAGATAGTGTGTGTGAACCAGCCTCGTGACTGCCACATCTGTCATAGAGACACTGGAGCTAAGGGCCGTCTAAGGCAGCATTCATCCAGCTGGCTTCTCATGCCCCTTGAAATAAAATCCCAGCTTCCTACAGTGGCTTCATGTGAGTTAACTATACCCAAAATAATGCTGTGAAACAATCCCTTCCCACCAATCCAGTGGCTTAAAACCGTCAGGGTTTTCCCAACATCTTTGGGTCGGCTGTAGTTTGACTGAGGTTGGGTGGGCTTGGCCCAGGCTCTAGGTTAGGTCCAGGCCTGCTCCAGGTGTCTCTTATCCTCCTTGGACCAGTGGGCTGGCAGAAGCCCAAGATAGTAAGCCCCACCATGAAAGCATATGTCAAACCTCTGCCAGTGTCCTATCTGTTAACATCTCATTCATCAAAACAACTCCCCTGGGCAAGCCCAAAGTCAAGGGTCAGGGAAATTCATGTACAGACATAAATGCCATACAGAGCAGTGGAGACGTATGACCAATCTGCCCCATGTCCACAAGGCTGACTTCTCCAACCCCACATCATATTCCTCCACCCATCCACTGAGCGAACCATCTAAGTGCTCACTAAGCTCCGACCAGCTTGTTTCTCAAACATGCCAAAGTAATTCCCACCTCAGGGCCTTTGCACAAGCTGCTCCCTCTGCCTTGAACTCTCTTCTCCAGATTCTTCCCTGGCTGCTCCATCTAAAAACTCAGAACATAACTAAAATGTTACTTCCAACGTGTGGCCTTACCAGACCACAATGCTTAAAACACCTCTCTCCGTCCCTTACCCTATCTCACCCATCCAAAGCACCCTCTGTCACATCACCCAGCCGAATTTTTTCTCAGTACTACAATCTCAAATGACTCTCTCTATACATGTATTTGTTCGTTTATTGTCAGCCTTCTCACCAGAACCAAAGATTCGTGATGGCAGAGATATTGCTCACTGTTGAGTTCCCTAGTGCCTTACACATGTTTAATAAATATGTACTGGAAGAATTTCAGTGGTGCCAGAGAGGAGCAGAGGAGGGAAGTTGGAAAAGGTGATGAGTAAAATGCAGACAGTCCTATTTCTTATTCCATCAGCAGAAGTGGATTTCTTTATGTTGAAAGTCAGAATTGATGAATCCACTTTCATTCAGGCAGTACACATTTATGACACACTTTCAGGGATGAAGGCTCTGTACAGGGTGAACCTCCGCTTTCAGGGATGAAGGCTCTGTACAGGGTGAACCTCTTTTCCCTAGAGGGCCCGTGATTTAGCAGCAAGACAGAATTGCAACAAGATGAATAAATGCTCTGTTACAGAAAACAAATGCAGGAGATTATGAGTCTGCAGGTGTCCTCCCTTCCTTCCTTCCTTCCTTCCTTCCTTCCTTCCTTC